ACTTCCACTGGAAACCAGTGTGGGCCTTTCTCCCCCCTTATATGGGGAGATACGACTGACCACAGCAGCTTTTTCTAAGATTAACTGGATGACGGTGTGGAAGACAAATTGGGAAAGGTAATGTCAGTTTAAACAGATTATCAGCGTCTCCTCTGAAACAGTCAGAATCGCCAGAATGAAAAGTGTGGCGAGTTTCAGGCTCTCACGCAAGCTAAGAGAAGGCCTGGACTTAACACAAGTGTGGACACTGTCAAGTGCCGTTGGGCCGCGGGCTGAAGTGGCCCCGCTGGGCAGTGTCACCACCGTTAGTGCCTCCATCGTCCTTGTCTTGACCTTGCACTTGGCTGTCAGTGAGCTCGAAATGAATACTATGTTTCTTGGCCGTCAGATTCACTGAGTAAAGTATTACTGAGCATGTTCTGTACCTAAGGAGTTTTTAGCTGAGTACATAAAAATTGAACTGCCTAAATATTTGTTTCTCTACTCCCATCTGGAGTGAAAAAGAGGTGGGTGCCTCTCCGCCCCCCCGCACTTACACCCGTCAAACGAGAATTCCGAAATGTTCCCACAATCTGATAGAAGATTCCCTTTTAAGATATCTCCTGAGACGTTGTTGCCATTAAGCTCAGATGTCTGAGAAAATCCATGCAATGGCGCTTTCCTGAACGGACTCTAAGGATGATGATTCATTCCGAGAGTCAGCTATGTCGCCTCACTAGGGGCGGCCCGTGCTCAGGGCCAGCTTTTAGGAAGGTCTGTTTCTCTTTTGAAGTCTGTAAAGGAGAAAGGCTCTCAGGCCTTGCTCCTAACCCTGACTTCCGCTTGGTGGGTAGGTGTCGACTTGCATGGAAAGAAGATCCTGGTCCTTGGGGCCCACGGGTCTTTGGAAGCTGCCTTGCAGTGCCTGTTCCAGAGAAAAGGCTCCATGACCATGAGCTCCCGGTGGGACACGCCGCAGCTCCAAAGCAAGGTAGGCTCGCTTTCGTGACGAAAACTGCAGCCTTGTGACTTACAGGGAGCAGCTATATTTCTTTCCTTTTTTTTTTTTTTAAAAAAAAGATTTATTTATGCATCTAGAACCAGAGGTGCAGGGGCGGTGAGAGGCTTCACCAGAGACAGAGTGGAGCAGAACTGGCCGAATGACAAAATACACTGCTGAGGGGAGCAGCGGGCGGGGCGGGAGAGGTCTGCCGCGCCATGTGGGTCACCTCGGGCTGGGGATCGAGCTCGCACTGAAGTGGCTGCGGCCAGCTTGCTGTGCTGAGCTTTAACCTGCTGGCTACCAGGGAGGGCCGGAAGCAGATACATTTCTCATACATATTTAATCTTCATTAACAATTTCTGGTACATGGCTCCCACAAACTTTGAAATTCCCTGAGCGTGTGAAAGTCCCACCCGGAAACCTCCAGGAAGGGGAGAGGGCCAGGAGGCTGAGTTTAGTCACCGATGGTCAGCGAGTTAATTTGTGGAATGAAGCCTCCATGAAAACACCACAGGAGGGGCTTGAGAGCGCCCAGTCGGAGAGTTGGGGGGCGTGGAGAGGACACAGGAGCACCACACCTCCCCCCCACCTCTGCCACCTGGCTGTTGATCACCTCCTGGAGTATTCTTTTTACTAGACTCGATGTATAGTGAGTAAACAGATTTCCTGAGATCTGTGTGCTGTTCTGGTAAAATAATTGAAGCTGAGGGAAGGGAGTTCTAGAAACTTCTGATTGATACCAATCAGTGAAAAGTACAGTTAGTACCTGGGCTCACTTTGCACACCTGAAAGAGAACAGACAGGACCGGACACTGAGTACCTCGTCACAGAGAGGAACAAATACGGGTGCACAGGCCAGGAAAGATTCACCTCAGGGCATTGATGAAATAATCATTAGCAAAATATGATAAGCCAGAGTCCCGCCCCTGTTGAGTTTATGATATTGCAGGGGTGGTTTAACATCAGAAAGGCTATTAAAATCAATGGCAGTGATTCACCACATTATCAGATTAGAAACGCTGCTGTCACCACAACAGGTTCTGAAAAGCCTATCGATAATTTCTACTTGCCATTCTGATGTTTCCCGAAATCGCCTTAGAGAGTACTAAGCCCTGAGCATGATGAAATGGCTTCAAAAAATGGCAGCAAGAGCCTAGTTTAATAGGGAACTGTTAGGAGCATGCTTTTTGCTTAGGAAGGACAGGGTCGCAGTTACGGACCTCCTGACCAACCTTGTGGAGAGGCCGATACAGGAAGCGAGCAGGAGGGGAATAAGCAGCGATCAGAAAGAGACTCCGAGTGCCCTTCCCTCCATGTGATCTTGTGATCTACAGACACAGGGAAAGAACCCATGAAAATGGGAGAGTCCTGAGTGTTCCCTGGGCTCTTGTGTCTAAGATGAACATGCAAAAAAAAAAAAAAAAAACTGCACTTCTGCACACCACACCCACAGTTAGAAAAAAATTTCAACAACAAAAGTTCTAACAGCAATGAGAATGTGAGAGACCAAGAGTGAATGTAACGAAGTTATTTCTGACCTTTGGGAAGTTATTACATTTCCCCCAAATTAATCAAAATGCTGGCACAGTGTTTTTTTGAATTTGACAGCTGATCCTAACATTTATTTGGAAACAAGAACAAGAAACAAACAAGACAGCTTAGGAACTGTAAATGCCATCGTGGGGGAAGTCAGCCACTGTTCAGTCACAGGCAGGCTCTGTTTCGTGTGACACCTTCAGGGTGAGGGCCACAGCGGCCCCACGTGGGGAGCTGTCCACTTGACCCCCACCTCCACCCCCGGTCAACAGGCCCAAGGCAGTCCAGTTGGCAGCCTGCTGCTGCAGGAAAGACAACCCCACCCAGCTTGGTGGCTGCCCCGGGCCGGAAGGCCAGCAGCAGGGATCCTCCCCCAAGTGCTCTTCAGGGGGCAGGGAAAGGGTTATCTAGTCCCGTCCCCCCCCGTCCCCATTTGCAGGTTGCACCCTCATTGCATTTCTTCAGGTCCAAGTAATTTAAGAAAGGAAAAAAGTCCACAAATAACTTTTTTTTTTTAAGATTTATTTATTTATTCGTACAGAACTGGGGTACAGGCCAGGGACAGAGTGGGGTGCAGAACAGGCAGATCGATGAAGTCCACTGCTGAGGGGAGCAGCGGGCGGGTCAGGAGAGGTCTGCCGCGCCATGTGGATCTCCTCCAGGGCAGGTGGGGATCGAACTCATGCAGAAGCGGCTTTAGCTTCTCAGTGCTGTGCTTTAACCCGCTGCGCCACCAGGGAGGGACACGAATAACTTTTTCTAGGCACCTTCCTGTTGGTCGCTGTTACTGTTTTGTTTGTTTATTTTTTGAGGTGGTGTGAGGGGCTTCCCTGAAGGGGGTCCTGAACGAGGACACCAGATACAGGCTTTGTGGACTCCAGCAGCGTAGCTGACCTCACCGTCAGAGGTTCAGAAGCTGCTCCGTAACCAGGTTTATAAGCTGAACTTGGACGTGGGATGTCGGAGTCAGACCTGTTGTTATCCCGAGCCCCAATCCTCACGATGGTTATCTAATAACTCTTTGCTTAATTACTTGAGACTTATTTCAGTTGACAGGGTTATATGTATACTATATGCAGCATAGTGTAAATTATTTATACTAGGGTCACATATGTTGAAAGCTACATAAAAAGAGGGGGACTGGAGCGCCGACCAAGCACACCATTGACAGGAGCCACGATGTGGGTGCAGGAAAAATGGTGGCTCGGCACTTCCTGGCCCTTTTCTCTTAAACTCAGCAGTGGGTGGGTGTCCAGGTGGGCTGTATTGTTTTTTTCCATTTTCTTGTCTGAAATAGTTGCTAAGGTTTTTCATTTAAAAAATTGACAACCCATTTTGCAAGTGTCTAGCAAGATGAAGTTAAATAAGAAGCACGTTAAATACAGCACATTATTCCTCAACAAAACCTGAAAATACACACTGCTCGTGCTTGAGCTGGAGAATGGACCCAGGAGCTCTGCAGGAGGCTGCTGCAGGTCTCCAACCTTGGCCCTCACTTGAGACAGCCACTCTGTGGGCTAAATCCTAGGTGCTGTTCCCATGACCACCACAGGGTGGCAGCCTATTCAAGACAATGTCAAGACAGCTATCTGTTTTCTCATTCAGAGCCCAGAATTTTTGATTTGGAAAGTCTAACGGAACAGGAAAATAAACCTTGCCCTGAACTGAACAGCTGCAGTGCGATAGAGAAAAAGACCTTCCTTGGCAATCCGATGTTTTTGCAGCTGTCACATAGCCTTCTGCCAATTGTATCTGTATTTTTGCAAAACAGAGACATCTTTCAAAGTACTTTTTTATGATGGGAATAAATCACTTTGTCTCAACTTTGGGATAAATCTCATCCTAAGTGGGGGAATGACTAATTGGCTGTCCCCTCTGGACCATCAAGACACGGGGGTCTGGGGGCTCCTGTCGGCCTCTGTGGGAGAAGCCCCTCTTCAGTGGCCCATGTCGTGGGCTCGTCATTAAAAGTCCTTGACTCAGACAGGCATCCCCCTGGACCTCAGAGCGTGTCAGCTTTCGTCTTTTTTTAGTGTTTCCACTTTGTAGCCAGAAAGAGGGACAGAAAGGTTCAGACTCCCTCCGCTCGCCTTTGAAGTGTGTTTGAAGTCCGCTCGCTGGCCCACTTACACACGCGGGCTCTGTCCTCACGTGGAAGGCCACAGGTCACTGGCCGCCGCCTCCTGCTGCTAGGCCCCGTGCTTCTGCCTGACATTTCTCTTTTCACTATTCCTGTATTTTACTTCTAAAGCACAGGCCATTGCGGGGCCTCTTTTTGGAGGTCAGCCACAGTGACCTCTGGCCAACTGCAGTGGCCACGGTTAATGTGGTACAAAGAGCTCCCGGGTACGGGTTATCGCCCCCGGGCACCCAGTGAACCCTTGGAAAATTTAGCAGGTGGAAATTTTTGTTTTCTGATTTCTTCAACAATGAATAAAAAGTGTATTTTAAGATTATTTCCCATTTAGCTGTTTCTGATCAGCAATGATAAGGGCAGGCAAAGGAGGGTGGAAATTGTCATTGAGATTTTCGTAGCTGCTTGTTTGTCTGAGATGGAGCAAGACCCT